CTTAGGCATTGGTGGCAATGCCTCGAGGCTCTAAGTAACCTAGAGTGGGCTGAGGGGGCCTTGGGACAAGAAGCAGAGTCAGGCCTCTTCCCTTAAAGTGTCAGTAAAAGGACACCTCCCATCTGATATTTTGGTTTCCAGAACTCTGAGCACCTTTAATTCAATCTTCTCTAGATGGATCTTACCTGGACATGTTCCAGGGTCTCCCTTTTTACCCACTTCCCCTTTTGATCCAGGGGGACCTGGGGGGCCTGCAGGTCCTAACTTTCCAGGTGGGCCTTGCAAGCCTCTGAGCCCTTGACCTGTTGTTGGAAGATAAAGAAAACATGACTCATTATTGTGCTTTTGCTTTCTTTTCCCAAGAACTTGATGTGGAATCCCTTCCCAGAGAAAGGAGACATTGACTCAGGGCCAACCCCTGAACCCCTTATTCCAATGACTCAGAGAAGAAATAATCCTCCTGTGTTCCAAGGGGGAGCCTACCCTGAAAGATGCTTTCCTGGACAGGCAAGACAACACATGTCACAAAATGATGGGTGGAGGTCGGAAATGGCAGAGGACAGGAGATGCATCTCTGATTTGAGTTATATTATATAGTAGAGAAAAACTTAATCTGCCTAGATAGGACATTCCTCCTGTTTCCCCAGCCAGTTATATCTGGAAGGTAAAGAGTCACACAGCTGGAAGAGCCAATGGGTACCTGGTTCTCCCTTTTCTCCCTTGGCTCCATCACGTCCATCTTTGCCTGGGAAACCGTTCATGCCTGGAGGAATACAGGCCATCACAGGGCAGGTCTTTTGGACCTCCTCATTGGTTACAGTATCTGATGTCACCAGACTCAGAAGAAGGAGAAGGAATGGTAGAAACAGGAACATGGTCCTCAGCTTACTAAGAGATAAGTCAAGAAAGATATCTTGTTTAGTTAAGCAGCCCATAGTTGCCACACATGCCCTTTGTCCTGAAACTTGGGCACAGGCAAAGAATTAGTGGGTGACCCTTTCCTGGCCTCTAGAGTGAGTATTTAGAAAAGGAAACCTTCCTTGTAACATTGTTGATTAGTATTTAACAAAAGTCAGCACAGTGACATGCAGCAGGGTCCTTTGAGGGCACCACCAGAGCCCAGGCCTCTGGTGTTGCTGCTGCTAGAAGACAGGGAATATGCTTTCTGTGGCTGTGAGAGCAAAACCACCACCTATCTCCACTCACTCATGCCTGTTGGCTTAAGAGGTGGGAAGGCAGGAGAATCAGGTGTCTGCAGAAGCTCCCTCTCTCCTCCTACCTCCCTTTGTGCCATCTGAACCCCAAACCCCAGTTTCGTATCTGTGCAGATGATTTCCCTCCAGAGCCACTTAACTCTCATTTATTCAGTTCCAGGCACTAAGTTGCAGACAGTAATACAGAGAGGAAGAGTTAGGTCCCAGTCTCAGATCAACTCATCTGCTAGTC